GTATGTGACCACTGTGAGATGATTAAAATCCACTTTCTTGATTTGATATCCTGAAGAAAGTGCAATAGTTGCTGCAACTAAGAGATTCCAGGGGATTCGTTACACTTGTTATTGAGGTTTGTAGTTTGGACAGGGTCTTCAACATTCTTAAACGGGAGGGCCATTGAAACTCAAAACATGGTGTAATTCTTCTTTTTCTTTACACTAGACTGATTGTTTCATTGATATCGAGTGCAGGTGCGCTTGATAGGCTATTGTGTTGAAGGTTCCCTCTTCCTTGTATATGAATACGTTGAGAATGGCCACATAGGCCAACATCTACGTGGTGCAGGTATCTTTGATGTGAATTAAATCACATTTCATAACTAACAATCTTTCAGTAATAGTTAGTTCCTTAAAGAACTTTTACTCAATCTGGTCAATTTATCTCCAGGAAGGGACCCATTGCCATGGTCTAAGAGGGTTCAAATTGCTCTAGATTCAGCTAGAGGTCTTGAGTACATACATGAACATACCGTACCAGTTTACATCCATCGTGATATTAAAACAGCAAATATTCTGATAGACAAAAACTTCCATGCAAAGGTTTGTCAAGGGGCACCTCTTTTGTGTTTGTCTATTGTGGGAGGCTGTTTTGTAATCGTGTTAATCGTCTGATTTAGGTTGCAGATTTTGGTTTAACGAAACTGACTGAAGTTGGAAGCTCATCTTTGCAAACACGACTTGTGGGTACATTTGGATACATGCCTCCAGAGTAAGTGTTTTCCCATTTTGAATTGAAACCTTAAGAGTAGTAATAGAGATGTTCCTCACCCTATTTTTTTCTTTGAAGAAGAGAATCCATTATTATTATTCTGAGAGTTGTTCCATAATTATGTCGGTGTATCCGTTTTTTGTTAAATGACCGGTGATCAGTGCACGGTCAGTCAGGAAAAGGGTAGTTCTAATTATAAACCAAGGTTTTCTCAATGCCTTGCTCAAAGCTTAAGTTGTTGCTTTCTGATTAAAACATTTCTTTTGAGTGCCTCATGTGACAGATTAGCACATTGCTTTTCTACAGGTATGCTCAGTATGGTGATGTCTCTCCTAAAGTTGATGTTTATGCTTTTGGTGTTGTCCTATATGAACTAATTTCAGCCAAGGAAGCGATTGTCAAGCCAAATGGTTCTGTAACTGAATCAAAGGGTCTTGTTGCTTTGGTAAATTTCTTTACATATTTCTTCGAAAGGACTATATGTTTGCTCTTCATTCCTTTTACTAGTTTCCTCCTCCTTCACTTTGATAGGCAATTTATATTTATATAACACTCTGATGCTAGTTTTTCGTAGTATTGATCCCTCTTTTGCCTTTGTTTATCATAGTTTGAAGAAGTACTTAATCAGCCAGAACCTGATGAAGATCTTCGCCAACTGATTGACCCAAGACTCGGAGACGACTATCCCCTTGATTCAGTCCGGAAGGTAATAAGATTTTAATGAAACTTGCATTGGTAGTAGCTAAAACAGTTGTTTCTTTCAGCTTCTTACAAAAAGTCCATTTCTTCACTAATCACAGATGGCACAGCTTGCCAAAGCTTGCACCCATGAAAATCCTCTAATAAGACCAAGTATGAGATCAATAGTTGTTGCGTTGATGACACTCTCTTCGTCGACAGAAGATTGGGATGTTGGATCTTTCTATGGAAATCAAGGTATGATAAACCTCATGTCTGGAAGGTAGTAAACCAAAATTACGCTCCCACACGCAATTAACATTTCATTCAGATCCATGCTGTTTAAGCATTGGATATGTGTACTACTTGTGCATTTTTACTTGTATAGTACTTGCTTGAATAGTGTAAGAAAAGCATAGAAAGATGTATTTCATTTGTAACATTTAGCACATACTTTGTGAGTTAGAAATGGAACATTTCCTCATGAGGAAATACATGTTTTCTTTGTTGTCTGCTGTCTGCTGATGTGACGAGCAGTGTTTATTATCAGAAGCCGAGCCAGGATTTTTAGTTTATGAATTCTTGTCTACAATTCATTTTACATATTGGTTTTGGATATATTATTTGTACTGAATAAATTAAAAAATTTATTTACAATTATATGGTTCGGAGTGACAATTACTATGTCTGAAATAAGACAGCAGCCGTACTTCTTCATATGTTCATTTCTTATGACAATTGAAGTCTAGTTTTCTTCATATTTGATGGCTTATCAGTTTCATCTTTGAAGTTTGAACTGTAATTTTGATGTCTATAAAAATCACTGTATTTTAATGTATATATCGTTTTTAAATACAATGATACAACCCTAATTATAATCCTCTACATAAGGAGCTTTTGCTACTGACTGTTTGCCCCTTAATTTAAGCCCCTTAAACCCCTCAATTTGCAACTAGGATTACTGACCTATGCACGTCATATCCACTCATCCGTTTAACAATAAAACTCTCTAATTTTCTCCATCTTTCTAACGGTATAAAAATATGAAACTACACTTACATTAATTACTACTAACATTAGCTACTCAACATTTTAAACACCTGTTAATAGTCAAATAAAAGTGGCAATGACACCAAATGCAATAGAAGTATCCAAGTATATATAAGTATCTCACTATATACAAATTCGAAAAGTATTCAAGTGTACAAGTATTCTACTGTAAAAAAATATGAAACTAAACTTACATTTACTACTCAACATTTTAAACAATTTTTAATAGTCAAATACAAATAACAATGACACCTAATACAAATAGAAGTATTCAATAGTATAAGAATTTGAAAGTATTATTATGAACCTCAATTTCTTCCTCCTGTTCAAATTATAAAACATTCATATAGATACAACAATTGCCTACAACCCTATTTGGAGTAGTGATTTTCATCATTGGATTGGTGAAAAAAATCTTCAACTGAAACCCATAAAAAATAAGCTCCGAAAATCATGCAAAGATCGTTAATTGTAAGGAATTTAGGGGGAAAGAGACGGTGATTGTACAGAGATTAGTGGGGAAGAAATGGTTGATTTGTGGGAAAGATTGAAAGAGAAACTTTGAAGGTGGGAACTAGGGAATAGTGAAGTGTAAAAAATAGGTAAAAAACTTGATTATGCGTGTAGGATAGATTTTGCTATTTAATAATGAAATATATTCATAATAAATAAATAAAGTATACTATAGCTATATTACTTTAATATTAATGTAATTTGCTATTTCTATAGTTTTTCCAACTAAAATTGACCTACCCCAAAACTGTATCCAATCCATATCAATTTCAATCCGGACCCCAATCTTAGGGTCCATTTAAATATGCAATATAAGTACATGTGGAACAGAACTATATATAAAATGACATAATGAAACACGAACGTACATATAAATAAAGAAAAAGGATGCTCAACAGAATCATAGAAAGGAATAAGAGAATTAGGAGTCATTGACACATTTTTACATTTAGGTTCTTAGTTATGGATTAGTTATTGTGAAAGTTCATTAGTATAATCAAACATAAACCATCATGTGAGCACATGTAGTGTAATCTCAATCCAATCAATTAAGTCATTTCACACCTTGCCGGGTGTGAAACATGATTACATATCATGAAGATCCATATTAGCTCGTACTGGAGATATATAGAGGAGTCGTCTGAACCAATAACATGACTTAATTGACACATTTTATTCAATTTTCTCATGTTATAAACTGGCGTGAATCAAAATAATTATCTCATAAAGTAGTAGGAATTTTGCAAGTTACCCTTAAAAATAGATGATCTAAAATAGTACTCCATTTGTTCACTTTTCCTTGTCTACTATTTCAAATAAATTCTCTTTTACTAATCACTTTTAACATATGAAGAATTTTTTATTTTTATTTTACCATCAACATGAACTACATATTTTTCAAATCATTTCTCAAGTCCTAAGGGTAATACAACTATACATCAATCAATATGAACATTATGATAAACTACTCATATTAATAGATGTTTCTTTAAAAAAAAAAACTTCTTTTTTTTAAGCAATGCGATTAATTTACAAAAATCAAAAGAGGAGGAAAAAAATAGAAACGAAATTCCCTACTTAATGTTAATTTCTAAAACATTCCCGCCAACGAGCTGAGCCTGGAGATTCTTGTGACGAAATTACCCCTGTCTTATCCTCAAGACAGCCTATAAACTGAAAGATAAAACCGTAAATATCCTTTAAGAAATAACGGTCAGGGGTAATAGTTGGTAACGAACTCAGCAGAGTAAACAGAGCTTACCTTCCTCATTTTCCATTGTCTCTGCAAAAAAAAAAAACCGAAAAATTGAGGCCATGAATGGTGTGAAATCTTGCTTCGAAAGGAATTGGAACAGAGACTTGATGAATGATGTGAAATCTTACTTCAGAAGGAATTGTAACAGAGACGAAATGATGAATAATGTGAAATCTTACTTGCTCTTTGCTCTGAGATTAATCAACATTGATCTGCTCCATAGTGAATAATTCTCAGATCCAGTCAATACAGTGGTTAATGTGCTTCCAGGAGTATCGGATGGATGAAGATAGAGTGGATGATTCCTTTTTGACTCTATCAACTCAAGTGTTTCACGAACAACGACCTGTGGTGCATCTTCTTCACCGGGCATTGTTTCTGATCGAAAGAAGCTCTGTTCTTCGCTAATGGAGATTTCCAAAATCGAACTATCAACTTGAATCAAACAATTATTGACTCAGATAGCTCTGATACCATATTGATTTTAGAGAGAAGTAATTTGGGAATTTTCAGATTACTATTTCAAAATGAATTGATTACAAAGTAAGAGGAAAAATCCTCTACTTATACAAGTACATGAATAGTAAGTATGATGGTCTACAGTAGTATAACCAAATTAACTAACTACTCTAACAAACTAACTAACTATGTGACTTACAAGTAATTAAATAACTAACTACAATTAAGTACTCGAATTAGCTAACTGATCATTCATATCTCTATCTTCAATAATCTTATTTCAGAAAGAATTGGAACAGAGACGACGTGATGAGTGATGTGAAATCTTACTTCGTAAGGAATTGGAACAGAGATGATATGATGAATGTGGATGAAATTCCCGTTGAAGTTCATACAAGCTTGAAGAAGGTACATACTACATGAATTTTCATTTTTCTTTGATTCGTAAGAAATAAAAATGTTGTAATTCATGAAATTATTCTCAGATTTTTCTTTATTGTAATCTGGTTTAGTCATCCGTAATAGCCGATCACAAGATGATCGTGCTAAAATCCCCAGTTCTTATATCGTCATGATTCATGAATTTCGCGAAGATTTTCGTGGAAATGGCGATAAGATAGTCAGGTTCTTTTTTCAGGATACATGAATTTCGATATTCTCAGAAAATTTTAATGTTTGCCCTTTTTTTTTGCTCTTCTTTTGCACTTGCTTATACAGTAAGTGATAAAATCCCCAAGTTGTTTTTTAGTAGCGAGTTTGCTACGGAAGCCTTGCTCCATATTCAGTGTTGAAAGTTGCTTTTGAGTTGAATTTTACAGCCTTTGGCTTTATAAAGATTGAAAATTATGAACTTAAATTCTTGAAAGTATGAAGGTAGTATAGATATTGAACACATTTTTGCTTCTGCCTCTAAGTATTGGATTTCCCCTTTTCCTGTGATTGATTGGTTTTTGCTGAATAGGTGTATCTTACTCTCTTCTGTGCCATGTTGAGCTCTACTTTTGGATCGTACGTATGATGGATTTCAGTAGCCGGGGGGAAATTCACAGTCCTTCCTTATGTAGCAAGTTTAATCTTGATTTACTATACTCCACCAGGGAGAGTGGTACGTGATCAATGACTCGTAAATTTTGTTGAATTATTCTTGAAGTAGCTTCTAATAATGTAAATCTTCTGTCTTATGTAGAAGACGAGGGTCTTACTCTTGATGTTGGCTGCCTGTTTATTCGGTGCTTCTGTTAACGCTTTTACAAATTATCTCTTCAAAATCGAGCAACGGTAAGACTCAAATGATGCTAAGCAATGTCTAGATATCTGTTGTTGATCAAGTTTTCTGTGTTTTCTGTTTTACTGGTTTCTTGTCATATCATATTATCAAGAACCTGTTTTTTGTAGTTTCAATTGTGTACAAAGAGAGATTGTATATATACTTGTGATCCTTAATAATCACTAGATTTACCGGAAATCCTAATTTTTGAGCATGAATGAGCTGCTCTCTTTCTCAAGACAAGTGCTGCTCTCCATCGCGATTTATATCATTCTTGTGCTGTTTGCTAAAAGTGGCTACTAGAATTTGTGCATTCTTGGCTAATTTATATGTTGTTACCACATTTGCTTGCTCTGTTTCTACCCTGCTCCTTCTGTATGTGTAGTTGATTAGCCCTTCTATAGAATATTTTGATAAATCTTGACATTCCATGGTTGTTCTCCAGCTATGTTCTCCGACTTTTGGCAGGTAAAACAACTGGTTGTGGAAGTTTCTTGTATAGAATCATCAGAACAAGGAAAAGGAGAAAAATCTACCTTGGTTGCATGAAATATTGTTTCTTCATAGTCCACCTTTGGTTTTGTTGTCTTGGACAGCAGCCACACAATTCATTGGGTGATAAACGTAAGCAGTTGCATGCATACAATGTGATCACAGTCATTTTTTGAACTTGTTTATTCTAGTTTTGAACTCGCCTCTGTCTAATGAATGAATAATATAAGTGACTTGAATACTGCTTGTGATAGATGCACCTTGCGCAGACATTATTCATGGGGTACCTTGTGATATATAGCCAAGAGCTATTGTATGATGCTAACTTAGGAGATATTAACTTCGTCAACTGCACATTCACCGTCTTCCTCCATTTACCGGGCATATTGATCCATGCTGCAAGACTATACCTACAGGATGCAGAAATTGAGCAACAGGAACAGAATTAAAGCTGATGCACCTTGGAACTATAGAGAGTAGAATGTGCACCTTACTGTAAATGATTAACAAATATTCTTTTGTGTCTACATTTTACTGATTGAATTTGGAATTCGTTTGTCTAAACCAAACTTCTTTGAATGTGGGGATCAAAATATGTAGTATTTGTTTTCTCCTTCTCTTCTCTGGGAGCTCCTTCCCTTTCCGCTCCCTTGGTGACTCGAATTCATAACCTTAGAGAGTTGGAAGGGAGGAATGCTCAAGAAATAGAAGAAATTCCAATTTTGTAAATTTGGTATTAGTAGTTCAATGTGGGGATCAAAATATGATAAGATGATATTAGATGGTTCTTTGTACATCTGTTTGGAATCAAATTGAAGTCCACTCGTTTCCGGTAGGGCTGTGCAAAATCAAATCGATAATACATAAAATCAGATCGAACCTACCTATGCACACCACTAATTTCTGAGTCAAGGTACAGCATGACTAAAAAGGTCATTCATTAAGGCACGAAAAAATTGTTATTATCTGTGTTTCAACCCGTTCTTTAACAAATCAGTTTCTGTTTTACAATGAAGAAACTACATAAATTCTGAAATAGAAATGTAGAAGAAGCAGAAAAAGATTTCGTGCCCACAAGTTATTTGTGTCCTTACGAAATTATAAACGCCTCACTATTGCAAAGAAATTAGGTTACTTCCAAGTTATTGTGGTTTATGTCATATGTGGATGATTCTGATGTTGAGCAGCCTGATGATATCCGGACGAAAGGGAAGGACATCGTTCAGCCAAGACTGGAAACATTCAAAGAGCAGCTGAGTCCTTTAAGGATTTGGGTAAGCAAGTAGAGCATAAATGTACAACTATTGTTCAATATTTGCTTCTGTCGCTATCTAACGAATGTTAACCTTTATTCTCAGGCTGAAGAGAAGTCGATAAAATGGCGTTTAGAGAAAAATGAAGACATTTGTAATCTTGTATCATATGACCTGTCAGCAGTTAGTATTTTCTATGTATCCTGCAGTATTAGGTTTTCTGTGTAAATAAAGCTCTAAGTATTCCATAGAATTAGTCGAGGTGTCTATCAAGTTGACCCGGACATCATACCTTATTAGAGTTGGACTGGAACTCATCACTTTGGCTCCTCCACAGACCTTTAGGCAATAACTCACGTTATATTTTAAAAGAAACAATACTGTATATTTGTATACCAGAATGCAGTGTTAAAGATAAAGAATTTCCAGAATTTGAAGAATTCAGTTTACATCAACCTACTAAATACATTTTTCTTTTTAATTGCCCACCCGGTGTTGGTACCACTATGCGGTTCGGCTGTTTTGGATTCATGTCGAGAAGTACCAATTTGGGGGTAAGATTCTTCCTATCTCATTTTCAAAATGATGAGCACAAAATTTACAGATTAATCAGATTCATTTCTGAAGTATGTACAATTGAGCTGTGTTTAATTTTCTGAAGTAGCAAGAACTAGATGATCTCCATCTCTTATCACAGCAATGTCCTCAATAAGTGCTCCATCTTCAGTTAGTACTTTCGCGAGAGAGATGCCATATTTCTCAGCACCGATATCAAGTAGCTCTTGAATGGAATCCGGCAAAAGCACAACCCTTCTACGCATATGAGCTTTCTCTAGACAACCGATGGTTATTCTGTCTGGAATTCTTGAATTGTCAATTTTAGGTGATGTTGTTTCTCCCGGAGTGGAGAAATGAATCGTGGGATCGCTCTGATATTTGGTAAGGAAGGGAGCACCAGGCGCCTCAGGAGGACAGACATTGGTTTCTTTACTAGTTGGTTGCATCAAGTTGAAAAGCTCCTTTATCTCTTTGTAGTCCTGATATTCAGCCAATGCTCTTGTTGTCCAACCATGAACGTCTGGTTTATCAATGTCAGTTGCTTGTTCCATCAGGAATTTAACTATTTCCACATTCTCCTCAGAAATAGTAGTGTGCATTGCTGCAAAACATAAGCTAAGAGGCATGTCTATTACTCCTTGAGCCAGCATATGTTCTATATCTGTTAATACTGTTTTCATCATTGGGTCCGTTTGCTCTTTCCAATGCTGAAGGAGATTATTCATGATTATTGTCCCGTCTCCTATATTTTCTTTAAGATGTTGAAAAATGAAGTACGATCCAAGCGTAGCAGTTGGGATATTCTTTTGGTTCGAACATTAAAAAGTTGAGGCTTACAGCAAAGGACACCAACTTCTCCACAAAGATCCCCCGTCTTTAACTCACCAACTACCTGATCCATTCCGTTCCTGTGTGATATAAGTTCCACTGCTCCAGTAACCAGAATGTACAGATCTGTAGGTGCTTCATTTTGCAAAATGACATCCTCTTTTGGAGGGAAATACTTGGCCTTCATCTCAGAAACCAGTTGAAAAAGCAAGTCATTTGATACCCCGTGGAATAAGTAGGCCTTATCCACCAGTGGATAGAATAGATGATGTGAAATGGCAGATCGAATAGCTTTGGGTAGTGTTTCAAGAGTTCCTTGCTGCTGCAGACCTTCCGAATCTGTTCTGTACATCATAGACAAGTGATCTAGCATCTGTTCTTCAAGTCGAACAGGCAGCTTATTCCTTTGTGCAAAGCTTGAGGCAGCTTGAATATCATCCCTAAATTTCTGTGTCTTACTGATTCCATGGATAACCAAGTTGGTCATGTTTCCAATAATATATGCAGTCAACCCGAGGTCGAATAGCATGTACATCATGGTGAATATCATTTCCTCTGTAGCAACCGCGTGCAAATCCCCATATCCAGTTGTTGTAAGCGTTGTAATAGACCAATACATAGACATTACATAGAGATCCCAGATATTCCTTCTCCTACTCATATCATGCAAATTCCCCAGTGCAATCCATGCTTCCCTGCTATCTTTTTCCCGCGCAGCAAGAAAGTAGTAGAAGCTGCCAGCAGAATGAACAGCAAAAAGAGTGACACATCCAAAGTAACTGAACTTGCTGTTTTTCTCCAATCCAGCAAACATAACACTAACTCTTCTAAGACGCCATAGACGAAACATACTCAAGTATCCATATGATTGAGGCAATGCTTTCAAAGGTATGGTGGATATCAAATCAAATATAAACCCGGATTTTACATACCTTAAAGCAATGCGCTTTGGGTCATCAATCATAGTGTAAGTTGATTTATCAAGATATGCAACAAAGAATAATGAGAGGAAAATGTCAATGACAAAAAAAACATTAGTTATGTTATCTAACATGGCAATAAGTCCTTGAGGTCTTTCTAGAAATCCAAACTGAAAAGGTGACGCCCATGCTGTGTAGAAAACAAGAAGCAACAAAATTGCATGCCAAGCCCTGTAAACGGGATTAGAGGGAGAGATGATGTAACAACGGAGCTTAATTTTGCAATTACTATGGGCGCCAAGAGAAGGAAGAATGTCACTAGTAATACCATAGTGAGAACTTTTATCGTCCATCAAATTAATAAGCTAAAACCTTATACACCAAACTACTTTCCCAAATGCCCCCACCGGCCCTTCTCCTTTACGGGTTTGGATTTTTCGCATCAGATATTTATTTATCTCTTTCTTATAGGCCAAACTTGAATGTATTTTGTTTGTGCGAGTTATATAGAATAAATAAAAAGTCATTGTTCTTATTGAAAAAGGATTACCACAACTTTTTCCTATAATTGGTTTTGGAAACTTTTCCTTTGTTAGTCCTTTTCTTTTTTCTTCCTCTTGTGTATAAGTAAACGGAATTATCAACCAACACACGTATAATTAAAATAAAATATGATATACTAAAGAGAGAAAAAAATCCCTTCGTGCATAGTGATTTTGAAACTTACCTTAAAAGGTTTGAAAAAATAGGTTTTTCTTTTTCAAAAAAATCCAAAGCATCTTTATTTAAAGGGTAAATCACCAAGGCATATTATATTAAGAAAATATTTACCAATGGCAATAGAATTTTCTTAACAAAATATAACATTTTTTTAGAATTAAAATAGTACAACAGTCCAAAGGACCCATCTTCTCTATTTTTCCGCCTTTCTTTCTCTACCATTTTTTCTATAATTTCTCT